CGAATATACAAAAGTACATTAGTAAAAAGCTGCATTACAGACTAGGTGCCCAGAAGGGATATACAGCCTAAACCTTAGAGAAGTCACTGGGGGCCGACTGAGTTGTTAATTTGTCTACACAGCAAAAATCAGAGTGTTCAATGTACTCTATAGGAGTACGCTGAACACTGGTTTCAGTGTATATATAGGTCCAAGAGTTGAGTGTTCAGTGAACACTGTAAAAAGTGTAAAATATATACTCTCAAAATAGAGTTACATTTGAACACCTGGGGAGTTCAAATGTACTCTTAAACTAGCACCTTTGACACCGTTTAAGTGCTTTTGAACACCTGCAGTGTAAACCTAGAACCTTTGCAGAGCTCATTATTTAACACTTGGAGAGTACAAATGTACTCTAAAGCTGGTACTTTTTTATTTACGTTTCCAACACCAGCAGTGTAAACCTAGAACCATCAGTGAATGAAAAATACTCCAAGTCAGTGCTTTTTATGTCAGTTTTATTTAACAGTTCATGGATGTTTAAAAACCACAAACTCATACAAACACATGTACAGGAACCACATATTGATCATCTCTATCAAAACCATAAGTGGTTTGCAGATCAAACGGCTTAAAGAAGTACAATTTAACAACTTTAAGCATGGAAACATTCTGATCATCTCCCTGTGTCACATGAAAGGAATGAAAATGCTCTGCAAAACAAAGTGTCTGAAAGTCCTCTGTAACAAGAAAATATTCTCGATTAAATGCAATGATGTCTTTTATCTGACTAAATACAGGCAAATCGTCCTCTTTGTCCGTGCCTGGACGATACTCAGTTCCAAAACAAGTGATCCAAGAAGTCAGATCAACTTCACAGTCTAAGTCAACCTGCAGTTCTTCTGCCATCATCTCACCATGTGGCAAGTCAATGAGCTGAACAGTTTTTACTGGTCCACAGTCAATACTTTTAAATGGCATTGATTCCCAATGGTATGCTATAGCCATCTGATGTTTTTGGGCCATTGACTTTGTTATATTTTTGAAATTTTTTATTGTGTTCTTGAAAAACCTATGTTTGGCTTCAAATCTCATTGACCAAACATGTAGAATTGGACCTATTTTTCGAATGACTCTGGGGTAATGAATCATGAAGTGATGTTTAGGGATCATTCTGCGATGTGGGTAAAGTTCTTTGAAAAGTTGGTGATGGTCAACAATGAGATGCTTCAGACATACTGTCATTCCATCAGTAACAACTGGAGAAAATATAATGTTCATAATTTGCAACAGGAGCAACAAGAGTCTATAGTGGGCATTTCCTTCTCGTAAAACATCTCCAAAAATCAAGGGCATATTCCGGATTAAGCAAAAAGTTTGAATGGCATTGAGACCAATTCCGTTTCCAGTCTGCTCCAAGTTTATTCTGGTTGGACGATTTTTGCGTTCAACAAAGCCATAATTGTATGAGTATATTCGGTTACAAACATCTGTCTTGGATATGATATTGTTGTCTGAGAGGTAAGCAAACAGCAACTTCAGCTCAAATTGCCCCACTCCTTCTAATATGTCATGCATAATGTCTACAGCATAATTTTCAGAAACATGAAAGTACTGTAGATCATTGAATAAACATTGTCGCTTAACTCCAAATGTGGATGGGAGTATAGGCTCTACAATGAGGTCATTGCAATGCTGATCATGCAGTGCTTTATTACGCAATGTTATTCTTGGATCATCATCCCTGAAAACCATTTGTGAGGTCTGTTTGTCTACTAGGCAAAAACGACAAAAATGGTTTGCACTGAAAGATTCAACATACCCGAGTAATGTGTGCAATCCCAAATTGTCTCCAGTTACTTGTGCAATTGTTCCCGTAAACTGGTTCATCAGAGAAAGGAACTTCAATTCCTGTGCACTCAAGGACTTTCAGATCACGTTCGAGGGGCTGTAAGATTAAATCAAATCCATACTTCTTCACATCCTCAGTATGAAAAAGTGCTAAAAGATGAATATTCATAAGAGCCGAGTTTATCTTTGGAGATAGGTTTCGTAAAACAAAGTATATACTTCCAACCTTATGGATACCATACTTGGATCTGAGTGGATTTGCCGTTTCAAAATCATCGTAGAATATCTGTATTTGGAGAGAGTTTGGTTTTTCAGAGAAGAGGGGGTGATCTCTAAAATAGTTCCCATCACAGAAGTCTTTGTAAAACCCAGTTTTCTCACAAGGCTGCACAAAATGATCACAGATCTCTTGGTTGGTGAAAATAAACTTCAAAATTTGCAATAGAGGAATATAAACTAATTTGTCTGTTATGGGAACTTGATCATATGTGCCAGTAGTTCGATTCCTTCTAGTGTCATACCTCACTCCTAGGGCTACCTCAACAGGTTCTACAATACCCCATTTCTCACTGAAATGTTTTTTCCTTTTTGCCTCAGTGTTCAGTTTGCTAAATGGATTTTCAAGGTTGTCGAAATAATCGCCAAACTTTGTTCTGATCTCCTCATCGTTAGGGAGTAATTTAACAACATCATCTTTAACATTTGAATGCAATTCCTCTACAAGTTCCTCCATATTTTCAACAACAGTCGTTATGACATTAGTAGCCACACCACAGCTTTGGAGATTTGCAATAAGGGATGCACACATTTCTTGGGTATGTCGCCTGGTCTCATTACAGCTTTGAGAATTCTCTGGTTGCACTGGAATTAAATTAACCACGGGTTCATCAAATACGTCAACTATGAAGGGCTCGTTCTGAACTACGGCGGGCTCGTTCTGAACTACGGCGGGCTCGTTCTCAACTATGACGGGCTCGTTCTGAACTACAACGGGCTCGTTCTGAACTACGACGGACTCGTTCTCAACTTGATCTAGACTTTTAGCGCTATGTTTGTTATGGAGATGTTTTCTAAAGCCTGAAAAAGTCCAAAATCTCTGGTGGCATCCAGTCTGGTCACACATCAATTGAAACTTCTTACCAGGATAAAACGCATGGAAAACTTTGAGATGACGGATCAACATTTGAACGGTAACAAAACTAGACTTGCAAACAAAGCATCTGAACATCATAACTCTTTAGTTAAGAAGCTTAGCTCTTAGGTCCTTGACTCTGGGAGTTTCGTGAGAATGAACTACATCAATGTTGTAGATGGTGGTCTGCACAAATGTGTACATGCCATTTAACCTCCTAGGGCTTAGTGGCCACATACGTGGACAGCACATTTTTGCTCTTATGTCCACAATTGTGTTCACTGCTGAATTGGTGGTGTTATGGACACGTATGGGGGTACTTATACTGCCATCTGGTAGTGTCAGAAATTTATAACACACTATGGTCAAAATTCAAAATGGCGGCAAACACAAGGAAAGATTCAAGTGGTAGCTCCATACACAAACGTCGACCAGTTAAGAAGTTCTGTCATATTTCATGGCTTATTCTGATTTAGATATTTATAAAAGCCTTGTATATTTGTCATGACATGCAAATTTGAAAAAAAAAGTGCAAAACTACCAACTTTGTAGGTCGCTAAACATGAAGTACACGTATGTGTACTTATGGACTGAAGCTCCTCGAAACAGCTAATATGCTAGTAAACATGCACACACATAAAATGGGAAAAAAGCTAGCTCTGATGCAGCTAAAAAGGTGCACATGGTCCCAATGACATAAATAACAATTAAATCACTAAATACATACGTACATACTTAAATTAGTTGGGTTGAAAATGTTAGCAAAAATGTAATATGCTAGTAAAAATGTGCACATGTAAATTAGCTTGTATATTATCCCATTGGAATAAATAACAAATAAATAATGCAAACCTACATACATTAAATTAATTTGTATTTGATTTTATCATGTTTTTATTTCCAGAGCATTTTTCTGTGCAAAGAGCATTGGAGCTACTTTGGGTTAATTGATGGAGATAACACAGATTTGGATGTGTCTGATAACGATGATCCCTTAGAGATGTCTTTTTGATCACAAGTTCAGTATGGTGTACCACAAGGCAGAAGGCTCAGTACTAGGACCGTTGCTGTTCACTCTATACAAGCTCCCCTTGGCAGATATCATTAGGAAGCATGGCATTAGTTTTCACTGTTATGCTGATGATACTCAGCTCTATATTTCTTCACGCCCCGACGAAACTTGCCAATACAAAAAAAACCTAATGCATTGCTGATATAAAAACTGGATGACTAGCAATTACCAACTTTAAAACTAAAAAATCTAAATTACGTCATGTGCTTTCAATGAAAAATGTGGAACAGTTAGTTCATTACATCAAGGCTAGATCATTGTAATGCTCTACTGGGTGGTTGCCCTGCACGCTTAATAAACAAACCTCAGCTGGTTCAAAACGCAGCCACTAGAGTTCTTACCAGAACCAGGAAGTATGACCATATTGCCCGGTTATGTCCACATTGCATTGGCTCCCTATTAACCATCATATACATTTTTAAATATTGCAATGTTTCCATGTTGTTTTTACTCTCTGATAGTCAATCGGAGTGATAACCGCAGCACCTGAGACGTGCCGTGGTGAGGAGCAGAGAGCGCCTCAGGTGCTGCGGTTATCCCTCTGCCCAAGTAGCAGTGTTTCGCCTTCAGAGAATATAGTTCCCAGTATTTATACGGTTAAAATATGTCTGTGTCTCATGTGACTTTGTTTTTTGTACACTCTGTGACTATACAAATCACAACATGAAAATAGGAAAATGTTTGCGTTATTTTGTCACTTATTTGGATTAGTATGCTAGCTGCAACCATTTACATCCAGTCTTTGTGCTAAGCTAGGCTAGCGGTGGGTGCGTCAAACAGACTTATAGCACGCACGGAGATGAAAAGGTATGTATGGACTTATCTAACTCTGGGGGATAAGGTGAATAGGCTAAAGTCCCAAAAAGTCGGAGTGTTCCTTTAAGAGGTTAAGGCCTGGTCATAAGAGATGCCGAAAACATAATGTGCTTTGAAAAGTTCATCAAAGGCTGACAGGGAAGACTTGCCCTTGCAGGGAAGGAGATCACCATCCAATGCAATGTAGAAAGTGCTTTCTTGTCGTCCCAACTGCCAGGATGTAGGGCTGTCGTCGCTGGTTTGGACCAGAGTGCTCCTGAAGGCTGCGACATGACTGTAAGATAACAATAAACTGAAATTCATCTACACTGAACAATACATTTTGATGGATAAGTCACACTCTGATAGAAACCTTTGATGGCACAGTTAGCTTTCCCATGCAGAATATATTCAGCATGTGATAAGGCAACCAAGGTTTTTGTACCACGGTCACACGAAGAGAGAGATTTAAACAGAGAGGTCATCAATGTTGGTTACCTTATCACATGTCCCTGCAAACTCCAATACGTTGGCAAGACAAACAGACAACTAAAAATAAGAATGAACGAGCACAAGACTGCAGTCAAAAGAGGTGAACCCCACTCTCTATGCACTTCAAGGAGGCAAAACATAAATGATCAGACTTAAAATTAATTGAAAAAGAAACAGATCAATAATCTGGGGGGTTACACAATTGCCTTTTGACAATGGCTATTGCCAATGGAGATCAGGACACACTGACCTTATGAAATTTAACTACATGGTCCACAGCTTCCCGGGTACTGATCTTTACAGCTCCCTTCTTTCCACTTGGAGGTGGTGGCAGTAGGTAGACCAGCAGTAACCGTGAGGCCATGTCACTATCCCAAACTGAGAAGGCAGGAGCATCTGCTTTAAGCATGATATACACCTGACCAAAACCTTTGAAACTACATCAATATTAAAACTCTTTTCAATAACAATACTAGTTCTACAACTAACACATTTTTTGGATAATCGATGAACCTGTCAATTATTAATCAATTGGTTGATTAAAAGGCCTGTATTTTATCAGGGAAATTTTACTCTGCACAATGCGGTCCTTCAAACATTGTGCAAATTGAAGCCTATGAAAACGCTAGTAAATTAATCTACGTGGACTTTACGTGTACGTTATAAACTTGTTATATACTACGTGTACGCTATAAACCACTATATTAAAAATGCTAAATGTAAAAACAAAAGCACAAACTAAGTGTAAACTGGTTAAAGGTTGAATGTTCTACAGTAACACTAGGGTTGGGTATCGTTTGGGTTTTATCCGATTCCAGTACCTACTCGGTATTTTTTAAACGGTTCCGGTGCTTAAACGGTTCTTAAATCGGTACTTAAGAAAATGAAACCGCACACACTTTATCAAAAAATAATACCCTTTAATTTACAGGGCCAAACTGGACACAATATTAACTTAAATCTTTAAACAATATAAATACAAGTAACATATGGTAATAATAAAACCAATATAAAATAAAAAATCATATTTACATAATATCAAATGAAACAATATTGTATCAAACAATGTAATAATACTGGAGATTAATAGAGATTACTAGCAGGCAGAGCTGCCAACTCTCACGCATTGACCATAAGACTCACGCAAATGACCCTTTTCACACAGAGAAATCGCGGACAAAGAGGACACGGACAGACAAGACAGAGAAGGTTACTTTTGATATGGAACAAATCCACAGCTGTCAGATTCTGTCAATATTTTTACGAGATTCACACAATAAATAACGTTTTGGCTCTTTGAAATGTGACAGATCGCTGTAGCGCGTCAGTTCAAACGGCACGTGATACAGCAGCCTACAAATCCACTGCTTCTTAGCTACGCAGCGTTGAGTGAACCTATGAAAGAGAACATCTCTGGTTACTGGTGTAACATATCTCTCAATAGGGAACGAGACGCTGCCAAGCTCCTCGCGCTGCCGACCAGCTTCCTTTTTCGGGAAAGAAATCTGAGGAGCAGATGGCGCGCGCGCGCCAACATAGTATGACGACGTAAGTGCGTCGATGCGGCGCCCGCGCCATCAGCCAATGAATTGGCTTGATTCTATATGGGATTCAGACTATCGGCACACCCAGAGGGCGTTCTGACACGTAATTTTACACGTGAAATGCAGCCAAACCTTGCGAGAAAGAGCGCGCTTGCGAGACAGAAGAGACTGTGCTCCAAACTGTGTAGCACACGCACGGCGGAGAGAGAGAGAGCGAGAGACCTTGTGTGTGTGCGTGTGTGCCTAATGAAGTTAGGCACCGAATCAGGCACCGAAATTTTCGTTCTTATTCGGTCTGGTTACTACCGTTTACATCGGAACCGGTTCCCTATTGGCACCGAGTTTCGGTACCCAACCCTAAGTAACACACATTAAATTTTCTGAACAGCATTATTCAGTAAATGCTCAGTTACTGCTCTCATAATAACACAATTAGTTTTATTTAATGTAGAGTTTAAAGATAAATAAATCTTGTGTAAAATACTGAGGAAAACACATCTCGAAACAGTGTTTCACAGACCAAACTAATCGATTATGAAATTTCTCGATTATTTTCATTATCGATTTCATTGATTAGTTGTTGCAGCCCTAAAAATATATATTATTTGTCTAAACAGCCATTTGTCATGGTAAAGAAATGAAATAAGTCGACATTTGAAAGATACACACCAGATTCATGTCAATTATTTACCTGGGACCTCGTCATCCTCATCAGTGTTCTCCTCTGCAGACTGGATAAGGTGGTCAAGCAGGGGTGTCTTGCTGATGTTCTTGGCTTGCTTTATTACTTTGGCCTTCAGGAAATCCCATTTCTCAAGGAGTTTTGATGAAGTCTCAGCTCCAAACAACAGGTCAAAGTCTTGCGCCACCTAAAGGGGAGGAAGCAAGCATATGTGTATTTGATGATGGTGGTATAGTCGTAGCAGGTGACAGTTTTAATCTTTGAACAGCTGTTCTTGACATTGCAAAAACATAGTAAATGTGCTTAAAAAAAAAAAAACTTACCAGGCCTTTTGTGTCAAGAAACCTTGGGAACACAGTAAGCACTGTGCTGCATTGCTCAGGATCATGGATCAACTTTTGCCTGTGCTGGAAGGTTTCTCTCATTTTCATGAAGATCTGTTCGTTGTCTGTGCTGTGTTTCAGTAGAGATATGGCCTCACGACACTGGTCTCCCTCCAACTGCTGCACTTTAGTCCCTTCTCTCTCCAAGTTTGGTCCACTGCTGCCTGTAGTGTGAGAGCTCCTTCTCCTACAGCCATTGGTACCGCCATTGCTGAGATCTCGCTGTGTGTTTTTAATCTTCCAGGCAATGTAGCCCTCATTGCTGTCTATGTCAAAAAAGTGTTCCTAAAGACAACAAAGATGGAAATGTATATAAAAAAAAGTTTCAGCATGAATTAATAGATCTTTAGAAAAGAAGTGTGAGACTTCTAAAATGCACCAGAACATTATTCATTTGTTTGTTAAGATTAACCTTACTTTTAAATATGTACTCACATAGCCTTTTTTGGAGTAGGGATCTTTTAGAGAGGGGAACAGTGTTACTATCCCCAACGCATACTGTGCTCTTTTATCCATAGGGGGAGCACGTCTGTGGAATAAATGTGCATTAAAACCAACACACTGGAAAACCTATGATCTGCGCAAGGCCACAGCTCATTAGCCACGGTTGTCATTTAATGATAATCACCTATTTGATTACAACTACCATATCTGCAATTGAATACTATGAATATACACTTTACCAAATCATGCACCATAAAGCATTTTACTTACCCATACTTTTCAAACATTTCAGCAACAACAATGCCGACTAGTTCACGGCGTGCTCGGTCCTTCATCTCTCCTGTCATTGCATATTTTGCAAGGATTTTCTCCCCTCCAGGCTTTTGTTCAAGAATTCTTTTGACAAGCTTGACAACAGGAAAACATGTTGTGGTAACAGTAACTGGTAAATGTAATATTAAAAACATAAAGAGAAATGTTCTGAAATCACCTCTTTGGCTTGTGAAGAACTGTCATCAGTATGTAGACTTTTTGGGGACATCACAAAGGCGTCATCAATGCGCTGTCTTTTTGGGGACATCAGAGAAGCATCACTGTCCGATGAGGGTGATGATAGTGACAAGGTGTCTGTGCATGAGGATTGGATCGGAGAGTCTGAAAAAGGCAAAAAGATCAACATTTAAAAAAAATAGTTCAGTCAATGTTTCCACAGGTTTAAGTTAGGAGAGGTTAAAAAAAAAAAAGAGCATGGTGAGACTGCTTCCAGGAAACTGTTTTCTTTGTCATCTAAAAATTACATGAGTTTTGGTAGTTAATGTGGCCAGACTTTAAGCAGTTTAGGCCATGATACATTAACTACTAGATGGCAAGACTGACTGTTTTTTGAGAAGTTCTCGGGTCAACAGTCTTACCGGCTAATCCATTTTATCTCAAATGTAGTTTTTTACATCCTAATGTGAACACTGAACAGATAAGAGATAAGGTTAGAAATATGCAAAGAGGTACTTTAACAGAGAAAGCGCAAATCAGACATTGGTGAGAAGCTACTGTTTTGGTTTTGTGATAGCAAATAAATTACAATGTTAACACATTGGTATTGTAATAGGGCTGTCGCGATAACTGCAATATTGCATTACTGCACTACTAACAAGCCAAACGCAGAGGAATGCAAGTAACCGCAGCAACCACGATATTCGCGTGTTTTCTTTTTTCATAAGGCAATACCCTTCTTGTTTTGAAATTCGTGCATGTGTATTGAATGTTAAATATGTTAATAATGATAATGAAACTGTTTTTATCATGGTGATTTGTAGAGGCTTCGTGGATTTGCACTAAAGCCTAAACAGTGAATGAGAGTGATCGACTGAGCGCATGCGATGACCTGCGTCTGTCTTTGAGATCAAGTCATATAGATTTGTGAAAAGGTTGCTGTGTCCAAGGAAAGTGAAATATGTCATGTCATCCTTTCAACGTTTAAGGGTATTTACCATGAATGACATCAGCAACAGCGCTGGTCAGCATTCTACAGCGCGAGAAAGCCGCGGCAAACAAAAATCAGAGTCACGCGCATTGAATCGCATCAGCTTCAGCATTACCCATGCGACGCATTGCTGGTCAGCTGAGCCTTGAAAAGTGGAGCTCAAAGTTAAAAATAATTAACACCTTGTGTTACTATCTTTTAATGAATCAGCGTTTTTGAACGGTTATAATGACTCAAAGACAGCGTGTGCACTGTAACTGCGCGCTGAGTGACAGCTTTTCAATGCGCAGAGACGCTGTTTAGTTTCGGTTATTTTGGTTACTGAAAATGTACTAGTTTTTGTGCATGCTGACCACATCGTAACACTTTATAGGCCTATAGCAACAAATAAATATAATAAATCAAACATAAATAAATAATAAATAAATGGCGATAAAACCGCACATCCTGCTATATTGAGCCACTCAAAATTACCCCAAGGGAAAATCCTTCACCGCGACAGGCAGCCCTATATTGTAACCCTGCAATGTACACTGTAATTGTACAACCATTTACCAGAAACTGAAAGAACATTAACAATGGTCCACACGATGTCTCCTTTTTCCTCCAGGATGTCGCTGAAGACCTCTTCGTCAACCTCTGTTCCACTGTCATCCAGCACATACATGTTTGTCTCGGGGGGTATGCTGAACTTCTCTTTAGCTTTGAATACAGAAAAAAACATAAGTTGTTGTGTTTAAAAATGCAACAAAGTGGGAGAACAATAATGTTTTTTAGCACTATTTCTATCTTAATGGGCAAAGCTACGGTAGACTAGCTTGGTGCTAAGAAAAAAATGTCATATAAACGTACATCTAAACCAGCGGTTGCGTAACTGTGCGTTCACACCGGACATGAATAGCACATCAAATTTGCACCTACCACATCCAGTTATACGCTTGACCACTTTGTGTCCATTTGCACGTCAAGAGAGAAATTGACGCGCGTAAAAACAAAAGTTTGAGGCGAAATTTACGTGCATCTTCAACCTGTTGGCGGACATCTTTTTTAGATGTTTATCGAGCATTAATCGAGAGTCACGGCTCCACCGCCGCGTTCCCGTGTAAACGGTAAAAATGCAAAAGTCTGCTTGACAGTGAAGGTTGTACGCAGGCGCGTGGACTTGGTGTTGTTATAGTATGCACTCCTCGCCACCTGGAGTGCATACTACATTGAATTTCACAGACTTTTGCGTCACCATCTGCACGCGGATTTCCCACACAAAAAGCTCGTCTAAACGCAGAATAAAAAGTGATGACGCAACGCCACTTTTGCGTTTTCTCTTCAGAATCGTTTCCATGTAAACATAGCCTTAATGTAGTTTGCGCGCCAGTCGAATACACGAGGCGCCGGATACATGGAATTACACGAGACGTACTTCGTAACAGAGGCTGCCTTGCGAAATGAAAAAAAAAAAAAAAACACGATTGCCAGCCAGTTTTATTTATATTTTTAGTTACATCTGACGTTCTGATGAATTAAAATAAAATCAAGCATTTTCCAAACTTTCGTCGAGACTTTGTAGGAACCCTGATTCGACCTACAGATGTTTCCCTCACTGCTAAAAAAAAAATCAGTCAATGACGGAAAATATTCGGTTTACACGACCTCTGATCTAAACTTAAATTATAAACAGAACGAAGAGAAGAATGCCATTAAGATTAACTTACCCTCCTTGAGAAACTCTGGATATGATGCTCCATTGAGTTTGATGTACTTCTTCTTTCCTCGGTACTGCACTTTGAAAAGCATTGTAGTTTTCCTCACATATTACTACAACATAATGCAATTGCTTTAATGAACACGCACAATTCCAAATGTAGTGCAAAAAGTCAGACTCAATCATTTCAGGGAATCTGTAACGTTAGCTTTCAAGGCTAGGCTAATGTAGTCAATTTTGAACAAGGCCCAAAATTGGGAGCGGCAGCAACAAATGAATGCTGCATTTTCATTTTGAAATTTAATTTAATGGTCGATCATTTGATTAACGTTAACGTTACCACAAAAAAAAAACAGTTTTATCAGATTTAACATTCGCATAGTGAGTTAGCTAACGTTAGTTAAACTATATTACCAGACGTCACACCTCTTCTACTTCTACATTAGCGTTTTTAGTGTTTTAGTTATGAGAATTAAAACAAGAAGACAAACAGGAATATTCGGCATGATTCACTTGGTGGTTTCTTACCTTCAAGTCCCGCGGAATCAAAATGTCGACTTTGGATGTCAGTTGGAAACTGGTGTCCACGAGGCTGCGTCATGATTCAACCAATGGGAACGCGTAGTCGATCTGATGACGTATCGAAACCTAAACTCATATGCTGACGGGACAGCAACAGATTGACTCTCAAAGAGTTCATCATCCCACCATTTACACTACCAGCTCCACATCAACACTAAACCAATATACTAAAACTTGAGAGAGTTTCTGGTGAAACCTGACAAGTGTACTTCAAGCCCAGTTTACTCCAAAGTGTATAAATTATACTCTGGTCATCAAAACTCTGGAATTGTAACACTCTGACATTTGCTGTGTAAATACCCGAGAAATGAACCCCAAACAGCGGAAAACTTTTCTAAAGAATCAGTCCTTAAAAGTCAAAGTCTTTCCATCAGTATGACAGAGATCATGTCCATTAACCACATCTGGAAGGAAGGAGGTGAGGGTGACTTCCAGTTCTTGAGCACAAGTTTCTTAGCCACGACCATACCCAGCATCAAGGACTGTTGCAATGCACTTGATAGGCAAGAGGTACGATGTGAGAGGGCGAAGATGGCAAGTTCAGCATCCGGTGAAAGAGGCATATTGTAAGCCTTAGAGTACCAGTCAAAAATGCTTGTCCAAAAAACACACAATAAAGGGCAAAACCAGAAAGCATGAGAGGTTGTATCCTCTGCCACCTTACACCTGTCGCACATTGGTGAAACAGAGGGGTACATTTTATGCAACTTAGATTTCGTGTAATGTAAGCGGTGGATCACTTTAAATTGAATCAGTTGATGTCTGCTGTTGACTGAACAGGCATGTATCGTAGCCAAGCACCTGTCCCACGTGTCATCAGAGAGCTCAACTCCTAGGTTTTCCTCCCAGGCCTTTTTAAACCTTGCAGTAGGAGCTGAGAGGCAGCTTCCAAATAAACAAACAAATTTAGAAATAAGATGCCTAGAGTCAGGAGGATTAAAAAAAACATAGAAAAAGACATGTTTCTCTGGGAGGAGTTCAAAATTACAAATTTTGGACTTCACGTAATGTCTGATTTGTAAATAACGAAAAAAATGTGCATGAGGCAAATCAAACTTCTCTCTTAACTGATTAAAAGATGCAAACCGCCCCTCAACATAAAGATCTTTAATGGAACCTAAACCCTTCTCGCTACAGATATGGTAAGTTCTATCAGACCATGGGGGTAAAAAGGACTGATTGTAACAAATTGGCATATGAACAGAGGTCTCCGGCAGGGACAAAACTTTTCTCACCTGATGTAAATTTTTTACTGAATTTTTCAAAACAAAGCTTAATTTATTTAACTCTTTAGGCTTATCCAATTTGGAGAACAACAGTGCCGTTAGGGAGGTGCCGACAGCCAGGTTAGTCTCCATTTGTACCCATAAGGGGGCCTCAGGGGTCCGATTACCCCGGGCCCCCTTGAGATGCAAGTTTTTAAGTAAAGTTATAACGTTAATTCTTATTCATGACAATTATTAACGTTTTCTGCAAGTCATCTAATGTTGCAAATAAACGTTACCACTAGCGATGTGCATCTCCATAGCTGAGGCCGATGCGATACACATCTCGATGCATAGCCAACGATACGATACATTAAAGATACATATAAGCAGCTACCGATGCGATGCAATACGATACACTACTATTACGATGCGATCCGATTTCGATTCGATTCAACGCGATGCGATTCAATGTAATACGATGCAATGGAGAAAAATATGATGCTATGCAATTCAATATTATATAGATAGTTAACATTTATTTCTTTTGTTCAGACATACAGCAGATCATAAAGTAGCTTAAGTGCCATCTGACTTTTAATGCATGGCTCTTTCACAAAACCAAAAGATTAGGCTAAATAAAAACATTATTTTCCTGTCCTGTCTCCAGTTACATTTTTAACAGCTCATACATTTAACAGTGAAACAATCTAAGGATGCTCAGGGATAAACAATAAAGAAATGTTCTGTAACTTGCCAGCAGGTGTATATGAATCATATTTTATACAGTGACCAGAAAGCAGGAGCTGTTTTAACATAAACAATAATACAAATAAAAAAAAACTTTCACAAACAGGTCTTTCATAACTGTATTCAAATGTAAAAAAATATATATATGAAAAACTATTATTTGCAGTCACAGGCTTCTGTAAACCAGATTAACTTAAATGTCCTACTTTAATGGTGTGTTCACACCGAACGCGAATAGAGCGTCAAATACGCGTCTATCGCGTCTAGTTAGACGCTTGAACATTCGCTCGAGTTCAAATTTTTCAACTTGCGCGAATGATGCGTCTATTCGCGTCTTTGCATTGAGTTTATATGTATTCCACTCGCGCAAATAATTAAATTCGCGTTCGGTGTGAACACACAATAAGGTTTAAAGGTGACTCTCAGGACACGCCTTGCACTCCGTAGTGTTGTGATACGTCATATTCACGTAGCAGCTGCAGCAGTGGTGGTGAGAGAACGCGCTTGAGCAACAGTTCAGAAAGGAGAAATCAATCTAGTCGAACTGGACGCGCAAATGAGGCGAAATCGTGCCGCAGGACCTCCAGACCCGCGTCAACGCGTCTTTACATTGACTTAACATGGAACGTTAGCTTTTATGCCGATGCACCAATGCGAATCGGTGAATCTTACCATCCCTAGTTACCACATGTATTAAAAAGTGCTGCAGCGTTTTAAACTTTGTGTAGTTTAATATCAATAACATATAAATAGGTATTTCAAGTTTTGTTGTGTAGGTTGAGCTTAATTTACCTCAAATAGTAAGCTTGGTTTGAATCGTCTCAAAATCAACCGCCAATATCTTCCATCCAAAGACAACTTGATTGTGTCGAGCTAGGTAGGCGTGGTTTCAGCAGCAGGCTCCTCGGCTCCACCCATGTCCCGCATCTTTGCCCATTTTCGTTTCCGGGAGTGACGCGCTGCCAAGATGGCGACGGTCGGCTACGCCCACTTTAGGCTTCAAAAACGGTCTTCAGAAACCTTCAGAGCTCCTCGACAACCCACTTCCACTGGATAAACCTGGACTATCCATCCTCGCTGTTCTGCTTCAGTGGCCAGATGAGCATACCGCAGTTTCTTCCTCTCATATGCCTCATCTACAGGATTCTCCCATGGCACTGTTAACTCTATTAGTTGAACAATGCGTGCTGATCTAGACCACAAAACAATATCTGGTCGTAGGTTAGTGGTGGCAATCTCAGGTGGAAAAATAAGCCGTTGATCAAGATCAGCCAGCATCTTCCAGTCCCTAGCAGCTTCCAGTTGTCCTGGGCGAGAATTGGTGTTAAGACCTTTTCTTGGTGGTTGCTCGCCTGGGCGGAGGAGTATTGTCTTCTGCGTGTAATGTTTTGCTAGAACAGGCGGCAACTTTTTGGTCATACTACGCTTGCCTTCCAATGCTAAAGCCAAACATCGCAGTACTTGGTCATGGCGCCAAGTAAACCGACCTTGGCTAAGAGCCACCTTACATCCTGTCAAAATGTGCCTTAATGTGGCAGATGATGAACACAAAGAACAAGAGGGATCCTCTCCTACCCAGAGGTTTAGGTTCTGTGGTGATGGGAGAACATCATATGTTGACCTAATAAGGAAACTGATCCTACTCTCTTCCATTGACCAAAGGTCTTGCCAGCCCATCTTGCATTGTTCCACACTCTCCTATCTCATCCACTCTCCCTGCTTGGCCTGGGAAATGGCCTTTATACACCTCATCCTCTCCTCCTGCTTTCGCACCTCGTTGACTACCAGCTTCCTCCTTTGAGCTGGGCCTGCCTTGTGCCATTTAGGAGGAGCTAAACTGAGCCCAAAACCCCCTCTTCCATGCTGTACCTGTCCCACAATATCACCAATTTGAAGGGCAGCCTTTGCCTCTACCACAGATTTCTTTACTGACCACTTCCTACCAGTTTTTAACACAGGTGCTGCCTCCCTTACACATTTGTCGTGTGACTCTACTAAGGTCATTTCCAGTCTGACCTTGGCGCACTTAAACTCCTCGGTTAAAGCAGAGACTGCAATATTCCTTTACTATAAAGTCCCACTCTGCTGAGGCAGCGTGGAACTCCCAACCATTTCCTGATGTATGAACTTATTAACGCTTCCAGCTTATCCACTGTTGTCAAAGAAACCTCGTACACAGTCAGTGGCCACAGCAACCTGGGCAGTAGACCAAACTGAAAGCACCAGAGTTTTAGTTTTCCTGGTAGAGCACAGCTGTTTATGCTCTTCAACACTTCCACTGCTTGTCATCTAACTTCTCCCACTCGAAAAGTAGAATATGAGACAGATAATCTGTGTAAAAATCAAGCTCCTCCCAGTGGTCCTATTGCCATTAGCAGAAATACACCGCTCCCGGTCAGAAACAACCAATCAGAGCCAGGAGGAATGTCTTAGCAGTGTCAATCACGCTCGTGTACACGCTGATCACACCCCTCTCTTGTACAGCGCGTACCGTCGTTCAAACCAAACTCAAGATTGCTGGTGTGCCGCAGCTGTGCTAATGGCGGAGAAACAACCTAAACTGCCAATTTCTCGAGTGGCACCTGCTCATAAAACAAAGACAGGTAAAAGGGAAAAGACGGATGCCGATAAACAAGCGAAAAAGAATTAGACAGAGCCCATTGACTCGTTGTCAAAACTCTAGCCGCGTGACATGTAGATAAAATGTCACGCATTGTGCAAAGCAACAATTGAAACCTGCTAATCCACTGG